AATTGGTATTAAATTGTGCAAGAGTGCATGGCAGTGGTTTTGTCTTACTCTTAATTCAAATATATTACTTATCTGTAAACTGTGTAATGTGTATAACAAATCTAGTAGCTGAACAATAAGAGAATTTTTTAATTAATGTTTTGTAACTGTTTCTTGCACATTTCACAGGTTCAACAATGTTCTAATTTAAACAAACATTCAATTAAGATTAAAGTATCGTTTGGCTTTAAATACATAATGCCGTTTGTTTGGGTTTTTTGCTTGTTCAAATAAGCTAAATATCATTTAAAAGAGTGCACATTCTTTTGTGTACGTATAATATCATATAATATCATATTAATGAAACAGAGAGCTAAGATTTTATTCAAAAAGATATAACCTATCGATAATTAAATTAGAGTACAAAACGTTTTACCTAGTAAGTACATTCTAAGTTTTGACTTTATCAAAATTTACGCTAATTTAATCTTGACAATGCATTATGTTATCCTTAAGGACAAATGTATAGGTTATGCGCATGGATACACAGCATTCATCTAGTTCTACAGGGAATGATTGATATCTAATTTGTCATTTTTTACATGAATTTATTATACTTTATACTGGCAAATTATCGATTACATCAACCTTGTGTTTTCTCAAAAAGTGAATAACACAAAAATATATTTATGTTTACTATTACCAAGGTACATGTTCCTCCTTGTTTATTGTGTCATAATTAGTAGAGTTAATACAAACACAAAACATTGATTGATAATGTCTGGGAGAGCCACACGTCTTTATTGTCTAAGAATAGATTATGATATAATCAAAAGATTAACTAAAAACTTCAAATACGCTTTTATATAGAAAAAAAATTGTAGCAAACGTTTTGATAGATGACACAAAGTTGGACAAAATATATTTTTTGTTTTTGAAAGATTAGAAACAAAAAGATATATGAGAAATCACCCCCTGATAGTATCTGGTATATTGGGTTTTTATTCAACATTGCCATTCAATGTATCTTCATTCATTTTCTGAAATTCTATCAGCATTGAACGTTTCTTTCTTGATCATTGTTGTTTTATAAAAAGACGTTTCATATTTAACGCGATTGCAGAGCATTATTTTCAATTTATTGATAAATATCAAATCATAAATTGTCTTGAACTATAAATGAATCTGACAAAATGCGAGATCATTTTCCAGCAATTTATTAACATGTATTTACTCAAAAATACACAACTCAAAAAAAGGATAGAAAGAAAGAAAAGGTAGAAACAGAAAAATAAATCGTATTTCCTTAGCAGTTTTCTAAGCGAGTGACTAAAATTCCTGTGTAAATTGCATCGATCCTCTACTGAAGATCAGTTAAATTACTAATAATATTTCTCTTCCTAACAAGTCTGATTCTCCACTGTTTGCCCAATTTGTCATTTTAAGCAGCATCTGTTAAATTGTTAAATTATCACGTAATTTAACTTCTCATAAATCCTAGGTGATTCACATCTGAATTAATCAATTGGAATTTGGGGCGGTGATAAAAATAAACCAATCAGATAGAGAACTGAAAAGAAATTCCTGATCTATTCTAGGATAGGCATGCCCTTTTGAAAAGCTATTGAGTGCAGACATCAAACGGTACTAAATATTTTATTTTTTTTTTAAAAAATGATTTAGAACAAACACCAAATACTAGTTTGTAATATATGATATATCAGCTTACATACATAAATCTATATTGTTGTCCTCTATGTTGTTTGTATATATATATATTTTTGTTTTGTGAAAGCATCACAGTGACCTATTTCTTTTATATGTTTACATATTTGATTTGCTCATGTTTTTGTAAAATATACAAATTGAGTGTTATTGTAAATAAATTAAAAAAAACCTGAAATTATTTCCCTAGCAAATTGTTATTTATATTTTGTATAGATATATATTTTGTATAGATAAACTTCTTGAAGCGGTAATTAGTTCAGCCATTCGCAAGTTTTAAAATTTTATAGGCTTGGCAAGTCGTTACCTAATGTGTTGCTAGCTATATGGTTCGCTTTGATTTGCATTTTGTCTCCATATTACTTTTCAATAAATAAAGGCAAAAAAAAAACAACAACAAAAAACCCCCAAAAAACAACAAGTATTTAATACAAATATCTAGTATGTTTTTCCTAATCTTTTGTTCTGATATATGTGTATGTCGGTGAAGCATATATATTATAATATATGATAATTGTAAACGATCATACATAATGTAATGTAGCTTTTGTAAGTGGAAACTACAAATATATTTCAATTTATATATATATAATGTAATCAGTTGTGAAACGTAAGCGCGATAAAAATCTAGACTTTTTTTTATACACTTTCGTCTCCTTTGTTTGCAAATTACTAACAGGCATAATAGATATTCAGACCTTACGGTATATTCATCTTAAAAAGGTTAAACTACAATTCAACAATAATAAGAGTCAGTATTGCTTACTGAAATCTTATAGGTTGAATTTGTTATATATTGGTATTTTGAGCAGAAATAGCCATGAAAATCGGACAAATTTGCTTGCTTCTTTTCCTTTTTAAGAATGTTTACGGAAGTACTGCTCCACCACCGCCGCCTGTGTTGGATTTTTCAATGGTAAGTGTATCACTTTTTGAAAGCAACAATTATTTGCTATTCTTTTTTCTTTTACATCGAACATTATAAATACTAGACATGCGCAAAAACATGCAGACATGAAAGTGTAATATGCTACATAAATAGATCAATGATAAATGCTTTAAAATTTGTAAATGACTAAGCTGAAAATACTTTTAGATCTTTTAATACTTTCTATATAAACTTTTATATATGTTTCCAGTCACCATTTTAGAAATAAGAACATTCTGTCTCTTTTAACATTATTTTCCGATTGTTTAGGAAATAGATATCTATCTTGAGTACTGTAGACCCATTGTACAGGTAGTTTTACAATACAAGTAAAATTAAAATATATTGCTATTCAATCTTATGAAAAGGAGAACTGATAAGAAATATGTTGAATTACATTGAGCGAAGAAGTAATTTTCCTGACGTCATTTGGTTTACTGACATCATAAATGACGTCATATGACGGGTAAACGTTCGTTATTATATTGTGCATATACCGTGTAAAATGCACTTGATGGTCCTATCTGTTTGATATTTGAAAAGTGCGAAGCGTGTTAGAATGATTCAATCAGGCAGGTTTTTACAATAAAGATCTAATATGCGTTCGTTCGGTAGGGTTAAATGTTCCTTTTTATGTTTACAGTACCATTGTTATTTTGTAATTGATTTGTTTTGAACTCTTGCAGTTACTAGCTGCTGCCCGGCATAACCAGGATCATCTGACAAACATCATTAACGGGATTCAGCAAGTCAGTATACCAATTTAACATTGAAATAGTACACCTTAAGATGTATTTGAATTTTAATGAAAATTTAGAATTGTTTTCATATGTAAAAATGTTATCGTGGCTCATACTATTCTTTTAGTTTATCTGTAAAACTCAACAAAATATACAAAAATGTTACGATAATAAAAAGTTAAAATCTCGGTGATGAAACTCGTGAATTCCGTCACATTCAAAGTATCATATTTAAATTGCGAAACTTGCATTATTTATGATTTGAACTTTTGAAAAAGTTTTGTACAAAATGTATTCTTAAATTTCATTTATCATTATTTTATGTAGATGATTTTAAAAAAGGTATAATGCTATCTGCATAACTGACAGAAACAGAACATATAGGAAATGATTGTTCACTATTATTTTATTTTTTGAATGTAAACACGTGAAACAATAATTAAAACGGAATTAATGGTAAGGAGAGAAAGTTTAAAATGTTCAGAATATAAAAATCTGGAAACAAAGTGATCCCTCCGAAGCATTTATCACAACAAAACTACAAGAGAATTGCAGACTCGGTTTGATTGAGTCTGCACATGAAGGATAATGAATACGTGCAACATCCCTCACGCCCCCCTAGCTTAGGCTTGAGCGGTACTCAATAGCAACACTTAATAGTGTTGGCATCAATGATCCCGAAGATTTCGTGTAAATGTATGTGTTGCATTTGAAATCAAGTTGGAAGTCTATTCACGTCTAGGATGAACTGCACTATGCATTAAACGATTAGAACACTCATATCGCTTAAATTAAAAAAAGAAAATATTTTGATAAATAGTCAAAACTGATCTTTTTAAATTTGTTCCCTGATTTGAAGATATTCAGAGAAATATAACTTTTAAAAGTGGAACAATCGATATTTACGTTAAAACTCATTGTTTCTTGATGTTTCTTAACTTTTCAGACGATTGCACAGCAAGTTGCCGCCATTTCAGACTTAGCAAATACAATTGAAGGTGATGCGTCAGGCATCAACAAACGGGCTACTTTAGAGAAAGTAAATAATATAGACAGAACGTTCACAGATACAAACACTAAATCCAGCTTAATACAAAGTAGTGTAAATCACATGAATGGAAACGTTGATTCTATCCTGCAAGTTGCACAGACAGTCAATGATAAAACCGATACTGTAAAGGGAACGACGAACCAAATTGAACAGAACATGGAATCAATCGGCTCTTCCTTTGAACATATTACAGAAAGAATCGCTTCTACCAGCCATACCACAAACGAAATTAAAACGCAAACTGATTCCATTCAGAGTTTGGCTTCTGAAACAAACAGGAAAACGGACATGTTACGAAGTATGTTCGACAACTTCGCTAGAATCACTCGACAAACAGTTCAAACGGCCAGATGTTTGTTTGGATAGACTTGAACGATACAGCTGACCAACATATTTTATCTACGAACCAGCCATTTTCAAAATTACGATTTATTTCTGAATATTTACATACTGCAAATTAAATTCAATAAATATCAAAGACTGCAACCAAACATGTTCTGTTTTGAATGAATACATAAAATGTTGATTGAATATTAAATAGCACCACATAATCAATCACTTTTTGCATTAATTTTAATAACAAAATTTCCCATTGGAAAAAAAGAATAAGGAAGTGAGGCGAAATTCAACTTGATAATTGATCTTGGACTTTGTGTCTATTGGTCATTAGTCTTTCATTGCTGATTCAGATATTATGTGGGATAAGTAGTCGCGACGTCACTTGTGGAGAAGTGGGTAATTACTGGTGGGTTATTCAGGAAAGACGAATAGGTGGGTCTTACGCAGTGATAAGACTGAAAGAAAGCGGTTGACTAGAGGTTAAGGTGTCTGCCACTCAACGCAGAGATCATGGGTTCGAGTCTTACTCGGGTCACGGCCATGTTTCTTCATAATTATGACACCTGTACTGGTTGGTTCCCGGAAGCGGACTCGAAAGTGATAAATAGAAGTTGCTTCGCAATCAAGCTTAAATAAATATGTTTAAACCAAACCATATGACCAAAAAAGTGTTTAAATCGGCTGGCGTAAAAAAAGTTCACAAACAGACCAACCAAACTAACAAAAAAACAAACCCTCTTTGAAAATAAAATCACATTCACATGTTCTACTGCTGGAGCAAATTCAAAAATAGTTGAAAACAAACAATTTTCTTACAATTTGAAACATGCATATTTAGTTTATTAATATAATACTTATGTTTCTTTTATATAATTTATATATTATCATATTGATAAACAAAACGTTCTGCAAACAACAACAAAAGCAGAATGAAAAGGAAAACTTTTGAGCGATTATCATTTTTTTATTGAAGAATTACTGTAGACATAAACAAGTAAAGTTCAAATTTCGCTGCGAACATTGTCCATTGGTTGCAACAAATTTTCTTTGTCTTTATCAAATGATTCAGCAGAGATATTTTCTTATTTATATGAAATATTCACGTTACTTTTAAAACAGATAATGTTGAAAATAAAAAGGACAGCACAAAACAAACATTTTGTAAGCTAAGCTCAACAGGCAAAGCATTGGGTTTGTAATCTAAGGGTCGCTTGTTCTAACTTTGGGTTATGCGAAATTTCTTCAAAACAGTTGATCCCGAACATTAAGTGTAATGGTCAGTTGCCTCGCATCACTAATGACGGGATTGGCAGAATACCATGCTCTATCTTACTGTATTTAATGTGCCTCTAATTGTTGACATTGATAACATGAAGTTGGAGAATCAATACATAGATATACAATTCAACGACATTCAATGAACGTATCCGCAACAAAATACAGCCATACAGGAACTACCGACACAAAACCCAGTAAAAATGATGAAAATGAAATTTTATTTGAACAAATAATTGGAGAGCACTTATTCGGGAAATACCTTTAAGATAAATTCTTGTTTATTTGATTGTTTTCTTTTTGTTGTTTGCGCCGCTTCTCTTACACTTTTTAGTCATATATTCTAAGCTAGTTTTAAGCAATGAGATCATATCAAAACCTTATTGTGCAATTCGTTTGTGTATTTTAGCTTTAAACATGTTCGCTAACAGAAGTCGATAGGAAAAGAAACAGCATTGTGTAATGTTTGTTTTCAACGTAGGCTACAATGCCGAGGTGAATAGAAAGGCATATACCTATACGCATTTAAGGTAAAGTTAAAAGACAAACGTTGCTCGTATCATGCAAGTCCTTCTATTTTTTTTGCCTAAGGGAAATTACATTTCATCTAACATTTTATTATTTCGGACTATATATGCATTATATATTTATAGCTAAGAGTGCGTAAGCTTAATTATTTAAATAAACCTTAAGTTACGATGCATCTATTTATTCTTTAATGTTAGAATCTTTTACTGTTATCTGACTGGTGGGACCTTGGGGGAGTAAAGGTCAAAGTTACCGCAGCAAAAATAAATATTTGCATATCTAAAAACATTGAAAATCATGCAGAATTAGCCTTTAGCGATATTTATAGAATATTAAACAATATGTATAGAAATTTTAGCGATATGTATATAATTTGAATTGTTGTTACGATTTCTAATAATTATTTCAAACATTTTCTTCATGTTTTCTTAAATAGTATAGTAAGAATATTTGATAAACTATGAAAATATTAATATATTACATTTAGAAATGTTTTACATAAAATGAGGTCACGGATCAGATTTAAGTAAGCAAATATGAGATAGTACTGCAATCTAAAAATACTGCAATGTAAAAAAAGAGTGATAACGTGTCTGAGTTTCTAAGACTTACGTCATTCCTGCTGTTTTACTGCATTCTTGATCTTATTTTTTATGATAAATGTTCTACATAAACATTTGTTGTATTTGTTTTTAATAACCTCGTCACCGACTTCGCGATGGTATTGATCGGAAAACACCGCAGTCATCCTAGGAGCTCCGATGTCTTTTTTTAAACCGACCGCTTTATTTACTTAATTATTCATATACCTTGCAACAAAATCAGTATGGTGGATCGTGCCTTATCGTCGGCGATACTCTTCAAAGGACAGGTATCTGATATTCATTCTTTCTCTCCCAAGTATCAAAAAATCTTAGAACGATCACACTGGTTTCAAGTTTAATGCAATCTAGTTCATTTATCAATATCAATGACAAAATTGTCCGTACAATTCAAGGTGGTCCTTGTAATGTTTACATTGATCGTGTCAAGAATGAATCACCAAGATGTTTCATCAGGAAAATGTACAATAATCATTAAACCTATTAAATATATTCACAGTAGGCAGACTTGTACATTTTCTATTGTCACATATTGTCGTTATGATTTATTAAAGTTTTACATCACTGGTAATGTACACAATTGATAGGTATATTGTAGATATAGTAGAGTGGATATAGCGTCCTAAAATCATATAGACAAGTAAAAAAGAACAAAACCAGAACAAAAACAACTTACTTGAATACAACGAGCTTCGCTCTTTTATTGGATCATTTATTTTTAACTGCAGAAGTCACTGACCTCGTTCAATACTAAAGTTAAAGAACGCCTGTTATCAGCATAATTTATGTAATCAGATTTTTAGGTTTGTGCTAAAAAGAATTTTACATGAGTGACTAAGCTCATTGTCGTTTGTTGAAAGTTCTGTTACATGCAATGTCTAATTATTTAATGTACACGTAATTAGAATAAAATGTTCCGGAACAAAATATGCCATTGCTATTTTAATAGGTTTAGGGACGATTTTATGCATACCTCTCTTACTTTCAACAGTTCTTTTACGGTAGGTAATATGTAATCCTTCTTAATTACAATATGTAGAATAATTTTAAAATCCACAGATAAGAAATCTATAACTCAAATATTTGCATATTAATATACTTTGATCGTTACGAAGAGATGGATTGAAACACAACATTGAGGCCATTCTAGCATTATGTAAATCGATCAACTGTTTAATTCTCCCTCCAGCGCACAGACGTAAATGGTCTAGAAAAACTAACCATATGCTGGGTTGTAAGTGTTCACTTTTCTTTTGCGGTTTGAGTTTGAAAGAAAATGTTCTGGTTGTTCTTTGTGTAAAGAGACATATATCCGGTATTTTCTTTTATTTAAAAAATCCCATTAACATAATGCAAAAAACATTCATTAGTAGAGGGTTAATGTACCGTTTTAGTATACCAACATCAGCAGAAGCACGAATACGCATTTAAAGTTCGAGGCCGTATGGCAAAGGATTTGATAAGTTCTTTAACATTAAACCGACATAATTGTAAATTATGAATAAAGATTCTGTTCGTCGTGCTTAATAAATCACAATTTTTAGGCAAACATAAACCCTTGTAATTGTCAAACTAAATCCTGAGAGAAAGATAACTATTTAAAGATAAAAGGAAATTCAAGTTTAGCATATAACATCTTTTTGCACATTTGAATATCTTCTCTATTGTTTTGTTGTATTTTACATAAATATTAAAAATGGTACCGTTGTAGAATAGTTTCTGTTTTCAACACTTCTTCATTGCGTGATTCCATGTCCGTCCGCTTAGCTCCTCATTAGAGAGAGCATCAGATTAGTAAACAAGGGATCACTGATGTAAATTCTCCTTTACAATTGGTCTTGGACGATATTTAGTCTAAAAGCCATTTATCTTTCAGCATTGATATATTCATGTAGGATCAGTACTCGATCACTAGCGGAAAAAAATGGTTATTTATAATAAGGTATCAGGGAACGTCAGTTATCTGGATCCATACCCGCGTTATGACCAAAATGAATGCGTTAACATCGGCTTAAAAACACAACAACAATTTTCAGTTTAAAACAATACTGTTAAATAAAAAGAAAATAAAAAGAAAGGAAAAACAAAAACAAAACAACAACAACCACAAAGCAAAAGCAAAAAGGCCCCCAAACGTTTGATATAGATATTTATCATTTCTGCGAGTAGTTTCTTAAACAAACTGGGCCAAATGATGACCTTAAATCATGTTTAAAGCTTGAACATAAACATAAAATTTGTTTATGTAAAGCTGTTGTAAACATCTTTTTATGAAGCCTTAACATTATTTTGCAGTTCCATATCAATACACAAAACACATTTAGGAGGCACAAACGTCTTCTATTCTCTAAATGTCTGTGGCATAATAGATTACTTTAAGACTAAGAAGTATTAACTAGTAAACAGATTAATGAACCTTCGTTTTTTCTATTGAAACCAAGTGCGCCCATTACACGCAAATTGCAAGTTGAAAAATGGAGATGTAAGACTCCGTATACATGTATGTCATATACTTTGCAACAATATCCTTACGAATGTCATTGACATTCTTTTCCATTTTCATAAAGATATTAAAGCCAACTTGAAGAATTATTTGACAATTAAAAAAGTTTATGAGCGCTTGCTAATAAACATTAATAAACAATTTACCCGTTAGGCCGTAAAGGATCTCAAACAATACACATATCTGACATTAAAATCATATTTGGAAACTATTAACGAAGTGAAGGACCTG